CAGACAGTGGGCCCAATAGGAACAAGAAGACAATTTTCATTTAAGGGGGACGGTGGGGCGTGGACCCCCGGGCGGGCCTTGTGTTGCTGGCGCTGTTGTTGTTGTTGCTGGCCCTGGCGTTGGTGCGGGCAATTCTTCGGGGGGGGGGCCCCAATCGCCGCCCCTTAGGGGGCCGCCCCCCGGCCCATTGGGGGGGGCTTCCTCCCCCTCTTCCTCTTCTTCTTCTTCTTCTTCCCCCCCCCCCCCCCTCCTCCTCCTCGCCCTAGGCGTGCCCGCGGGGGCTCTGCAGACAGCCAGACGGCTCCGCGCGGTCGGACCGTCTTTTTCAGACTGAACTATTCTGGGCACCAAGGGTATGTGCTGCTAGATCTCACGGAGCTGAGCTCATATCTGCCCTTGGTACCCTGTTTTGAGTTCGGGAATGCCTCCGGTACCCTGCTTCTGTGTACGGGGGGCCCGTCCGGACGATCATGCTTGGTGCCCCCCCCCCCGGGACCCCCCGTGCGGGGGCCTTCCCATGTCGAGGCCGGCCCGAGCGGCCGCCGGAACGGACTCTGGAGCGGCCGCAGGGGCTAGTGCCATCGCGCTGCGCCGCTGGCGGGCTGCCATAGAGCTCTCGTGGGCGTGCTATCCGCGCCCCTAGATTGTAGGGTGGACCAATACTGAGTGAACAAAAGTTGACCCCGTTCGGTTACGACGGCAGCCCTCTTCACTTAATGTGAGCCTCGTGCGACTCGGTCCGTAAGCCGAGGGCACCCGCGCGCCACGTGGGTAGGCTCCGCTTGCCATCTGGGGGCGATGCGGGCGGGCGCCGGAGCCCACCCTAAATAGTAGGGTGGTACCCTACTTCGAAGGGGAAGGGCGTGAATCCGATCGGCGGCGGCCCGCGCGAGCGAGGTGGAGAGAGAGAGATTTTTAGCAATACCAAACAACTCTAACACTCACACGTAATTTGGGGCCTGGAGCCCTGTTCGCGCGCGTTGTTTTGTTTGTCGAGGTGGATGCGCATGAGCGCGATGCGTCGCAGCGCTCTTGCGTTTCGGCGGTAGTGATCTGATCACCCGATGCCACGTTCGGATCGCTCCTCATCGCAAACCCCGTCAGCAGTCCTCCTCCAAAGTACGTAAGCTCCATGAAAAAAAAACTGGAGCGGCCCTGAAGCTCCTCGAAGCGCACCGGGGTCGGGAAGGGTGGCTTGGCCCGTGACCCCTGCATGCTCGCCACGCGCCCTCGTCTCTCCCTAGTGCTCCTCATGCTGCTCCTGCAGAGTCATGGCCTTGCCGTCCTGCGTTCGCCGCGGCTCCTGCGGGGAGCGCTGCCGACGCGGACGGCGGTCGCGACGATGGCGCTAAAGACGGGGATCGTCGGGCTCCCCAACGTCGGGAAGTCGACGCTATTCAACGCTATCATGGAGGAGACGAACGCCGAGGCCGCCAACTACCCGTTTTGCACGATCGAGCCCAACGTCGGCGTGGTCGACGTTCCGGACGAGCGGCTAAAGGTGCTGTCAGACATCAACAAGTCGCAGAAGACGGTGCCGACGACGCTCTCCTTTGTCGACATCGCGGGCCTCGTCGCGGGCGCCTCCAAGGGCGAGGGCCTCGGCAACCAGTTCCTCGCCAACATCCGCGAGTGCGACGCGATTGTGCACGTGGTGAGATATGGGGAGACATGGGGAGACATGGGGAGATATGGGGAGATATGGGGAGATATGGGGAGATATGTGGAGACGCGATTGTGCACGTGGTGAGACAGCGCACTGTAGCTAGCCTGCCTGCTCGCTTTGGAGCCCAGCGCCTTGCCTGAGGCCCGCCGCTGCCTGCCTTGCTGTCGTCCTCCGTGTGTCCGTCCCTCTCGACTGTCCGCCCCAGACCACCTTCACCGCCTCCTCCCTTGCCACCACCCGCGCCTCCTCCTCCGTCGCCGCCACCCTCGCCGCCACCTCCCTCCCAACCCCAACCCCGCCTCCGCCCCCGCCACCCTCCGCCGTCGCCACCACCGCCACCAGCCGGCGCCCCTGCTCTGAGGAGTGAGGAGTGCCGCCGCGTGATCACCGCCTGCGCTGAGCCCTGCCGGTATGGGTCGGCGCTCTCCTCCTGAGAGTGAGTCCGCCCCTCTCCGCGTGGGCAGGTGCGGTGCTTTATCGACGACGACATCGTGCACGTCTCGGGCTCGGTGGACCCGCTGCGCGACATTGAGGTGCGGGGAGAGATGGGGGAGAGATGGGGGAGAGATGGCTCGGTGGACCCGCTGCGCGACATTGAGGTGCGGGGAGATCTGGGGGAGAGATGGGGGAGAGATGGCTCGGTGGACCCGCTGCGCGACATTGAGGTGCGGGGAGAGATGGGGGAGAGATGGGGGAGAGATGGCTCGGTGGACCCGCTGCGCGACATTGAAGATCTCCCCACATCTCCCCATATCTCCCCACGACACGTCCACGACACGTCCACGACACCGTCCACGACACGTCCACGACACCGTCCCGCCAGGTGATCACGCTCGAGCTCGTGCTGGCGGATCTCGCTCAGGTGGAGGCTAGACCTCGGCTAGACCTCGGCTAGACCTCGGCTAGACCTCGGTTACCTCGACTAGACCTCGGCTAGACCTCGGCTAGACCTCGGCTATGCATCTCGCGCAGGTGGAGCGGCGCCTCGAGCGGGTGCGCAAGGACGCAAAGAGCAAAAAGGAGGGCGCCGCCGAGGAGCTGGAGGCGCTCGAGGCTCTGCTGCCGCTGCTAGACGCTGGCACGCCCGCGCGCAAGGTGTCGAGGCCGCTAGATGGCAATCAAGGGGTGTCGGCGGCCCAGCTAGCCTCTCCACGCTCCTTGCTGCACTCCGCCGCTCTCGAGGAGCGTGGCACCTTGCCCGTTCCACTTTTGTGGGGCACACTCCCCCCGTCGTACTGGCGAGAAGGGGAGGGGGGAGGGGGGAGGCGGCGAGGGCGAGCAAGAGGGAGGCGGCGAGGGAGTTGAGAAGGCAACCGAGGTTGAGAGGGGGGGGGGGGGGGGGCTTAACATCCACGGCGAGCAGTTGGCTGGACTCTTCCATGAACCTTCCATGAACCTTCTCGGAGCCTTCCGACAGGCCGAGCTCGACAACAAACAGTGGGCGCGTGTCAAGGGGCTCGGGCTGCTCTCTGCCAAGCCCGTCATCTACCCGGCAAACGTGGCCGACGCAGAGCTGGCCGACGGGAACGAGATGGTCGAAAAGGTGCGCGCCCTCGCGGCGGCGGAGGGGGCGTCCACGGTCGTTGTGTCGGCCCAGGGGGAGGCGGAACTGGGGGAACTGGACGGTGAGACCCTCGCCAGATTTCCCCCATATCTCCGCCACACCTCCCCCACATCTCGAGCGGTGAGACCCTCGCCCGCCACCCCGCCCTTGCGCCCGCCGCCACCAACTCCACCGCTGGTGCGGGGCGCACTCTCCTCTCTCCTGTGTGGCGGGTGGAGAATTGCCCCTAGTCCCGGAGGGGGGGGGGGGGGGGGCCTGAAGCTCCAGACGAGTGCCATGTTCTTTCTAGGCGAGGAGCGGCAGACCTTCCTCGAGGAGCTCGGCGTCGAGAAGGGCGAGACGGGGCTCGAGAAGCTGATCCGCGAGGCGTACAAGCTGCTGCGGCTGCGCACGTACTTCACCAGCGGCGAGACGGAGACGCGGGCGTGGACGATCCGCGCGGGCGACAAGGCGCCGCAGGCCGCGGGCGTGATCCACTCCGACTTTGAGAAGGGTTTCATCCGCGCGGAGACGATCGCGTACAGAGACTACGTGGAGTGTGGCTCCGAGAAGGTGGCCAAGGAGAGCGGCAAGCTGCGGGCCGAGGGCAAGGACTACGTGGTGGCCGAGGGCGACGTGGTGCACTTCCTCACTAATAAATGACAGCGCGGTGCTGGGGGTATGACATGGATCATGGTTGCGCCCTGCCGATCCGTTGGCACGAGCGGCCCGCGTTTCGTCGCGATTTCGATTCGATTTGTGTTGGTACGCCGCCACTAGAGCACTACCCCCACCCAGAGCGCGCTGCGAGCAGCGCCGGGCGATGACGGCCGTGCAACATTTCTCTTTTCTTTTCACGCTCTCGTCGCCCCGGCCTCCGCTACCTCCTCGCCAGTATGGCCAAGTCAACCTCCCGCACCCAGCACATGCGTGCGTACTACGTACGCTCTCCCCAACACTCGCCGCGCGGACGGCAGTGGTGCACGCAACTCTGACGCCGCCTTCCCTCTGCAGTTTGACCTCAAGATGGAGCTCGAGCGCAGCAGCAAGAGCAAGGCGTTGGGCGCCGCCGAAATGGTGCGCCGCTCCCGCCCACTCTCCGCAGTCCACACCCACCCACACGATGTGCGGCCGGCGGCGGTGGCATGATTCGCCCGGCTCCGCCACAGAAATCCTCCGCTGAGAAGTCGATCAAGGCGGTGCTTGTGCGCCACGAGAAGTGCGGCTGCAAGGACGGCATCACGCTTGCCATTCACGGCCACGCCTGACCTCACTGCTTTGGCACTGAGGCAGTGTTGAACGGGGTTGCGCCTGTGTGCTCTGAGCCCGTGAGCTGGTGCGGCCCGCGCCGCACCCGCACACGAGCCCCCTAGTGGGAGTGCGGACGTTTTTTCCGATCGGACTCGTCGAGTTCTGGCCCTCGATCTCTCCGCATACCCGGAGGGGGCCGGCAGTGCCGCGAGGAAATCCGGTGTAAACACACGCGATCCCGGTTGCGGTTCCCGCTTCCCAGCCGCTCCGCGGGAGACACGGCCGTCGGCCCCCGCGCTCGCCCCGCTGACTAGGTCCAGCCCTGGGTGGCGCAGATCTGACGTTTTGTGACAATCGTCAGATCCGTGTTTTTTTGGTCTTGCGGTACATCTCTCCGCTCGCCACCTCACGCTCCGCCGTCCGGCCATGGATGGTTCGATGGAGCTCGCCGAGCTCCATCGACGCCATCCAACTCCGCTCTCCGGTCACGACCGAGTCTGAACGCGCTCAGCCTCAGGAGGTACCAAACCGCGCGAATTCTGCACGCCTCGCTGCACCGCTGGCTTGACTGAATCAGGCAGCAGCAGGCTGCTGCTGCTGCCACAGCAGCAGTCTGCTGCGGCCCTAATACGCAAGTTGATGACTAGCAGCACTGCCGCTCTGCCGGGGGCACATTCGAGCCGCCACAGCCGGTGTGCGGCTGTGCACTGCCACCTGCCCGCGGCTACGCACAATGTGCGCTCGCATTGGATGAGCCCTGCTGATGGACCTGCGTCGCCTAGCTGCACGAGAGCAATGCCGCAGGCAGTGGCCGTGGCATACACTGCGAGCACACTTGGTGCAGCTGCGAGGTGCAGCAAGAGCACGTCGTTCCTGCCTCTGATGCTACTCTCTCGCGGCTTGCAGCGCGTCACTCGCGCATGCTCTCCAGGAGCTATGGCGGGCGCGTGTGTGGGGCTGTAGCCTGTGTTTGGCCGGTTCTGACCCGTTTACTATCAGTATCATGTCCGGGCCACAAAAAATCGCACACGGGTAGCGGCTCAGGGGCCCAGTAAGTCGCGGAATCGCCAAATGTCACAACCTGCGCCACCCACGCAGGGCTGGACCTAGTCCGCTGCCGCCGCTCCGCGCTCCCCCTCCCGACGTAATCATGAGGGTAATCGTAAAGCCGTACGTATACATGTTCATGTACACTCTGAAACGAAAACAGCTTATCTTCTGGTTTTAGAATATTCAGAGGTGTTTTAGAATGTCGGGCGAAGTGTGCCAAACTGTGCACAAACCCGGCGGCCCGGTGTGCTCGCGAGCGCCAGTGGGCCAGTGGCAGTGACTCACTGCCAGTGTGTGGTGTGTCGGTTGCGGGTTGGGGCCTCAACGGTCTCGGCTGGGCATCAGCCATCATTTTCCACGGCCAGCGAGGCCCAAAACGCAAAAGGCTGCTTGGCGCAAGGTACGAGCAGACAGAAGAGGAGCGTCGTAGGACGTAGCGAAGTAGGACCGCGCCTCCTTCGCGCTACGGCCTACGCGCGCCGATCCGCTCCAGTGCTGCTTGGATGCCGACTCCACCACACAGTCGAACAGCTGGTGCAGGTCGTCCGACGCCTCCGCGTAGGCGGTAGGGCCCCGACAACGAGGCTGCGCACGGTGCCAAGCCTGATGAATGGACGGACATCGAGGCACCCTACCCCCTAAAATGACGGAACCCTGGTCGAAAGACCGCTAGGCACTACACTCTTGACTTTGCGAGGGCGGCCGGCACGGCCGCACCACCCCTTACATTATACCTGGAGAGAGAGTACAAGGTGGAGAGAGAGAAAAGTACCTAGAGGCCTCAGCTTCGCAAAAAAGACCCGATGCGCGGCGGCCTGCGACGGCCCGGGATGAGCTCCCCACGATGCGACTAAGCGAGATCAATTGACCTACTGGACCTATAGTCCACCCCTATCATGTCTATACTGACTGCAGACGACCACATGCCACACAGCATCACGCACAAGCACAAGACCCGGGATCGCAAAAAAGACCCGCGGTGCTCACACACACCCACGCGCTCGTGCATGCCGAACCAGCTCTAAAAAAATACCACCGGCACCGCCTCGCCAAGGCGCACAATAGTCAGACTGACAGTGTTTTCCAGTTGTGGCATCCTCGGCAGCCAGAAATAAATGGCGACCGGCAGACGGTCACAGAGGGTACGGGGTTGAGAGCATTTTCCAGCGGCCCAGGATGACGCATCTGGAAAATGCTGTCAGTGTGACTATTGTGCGCCTTGGCAAAGCGGTTTCGAAGGTATTTTTTCCGAGCGCGGTGGACGGCAAGATGAAGTCCACTGCGCTCGAAAAAAATACCACCGCAAGCGCCTCGCCGAGGCGCACAATAGTCCTCAGTCTGGCGAAGGCCAATTCTGTCATCCTGGGCGTCAGCAGCGTGCGACGACAGCGGTCTTCGCTGCGGAGCGGTCTTTTTTGCGAGGCTGAGGCCTCTACAAGGTTGAGCTGGGACGCGGTACCTCCATCTCGCTCTACGCTCTCAGCTCTCGCATGCCCAGAGCGCGCGGCTGCTACCACTGCTATCAATCCGACCACCGGGCACGGGACTGCCCGCACTGCGTCTGTGCGACGTGCGGCGGACTCGGCCACGAGCCGCCGCGCTGCCCTCACCGCACGCCAGCGGCCGAGGATCTGGGCGACTTTGCGCCGCACGCCCGCACCTCCGCGGCAGAGCCAGCCGCGTTCACTTTCATCGAGCTTTTTGCCGGCATCGGCGGCTTCCGCGTGGCCCTCGCCGCCCTCGGCGGGCGCTGCGTATTCGCTTCGGAGGTCGATCCGTTTGCGCGTGGCTCATACGCCGCCAACCACTGCGGCGAGCGACCCGCCGGCGACATCACACAGATCGACGCGTCCAGCGTCCCAGCGCACGACGTGCTCGCCGCTGGCTTCCCGTGCCAGCCCTTCTCCTTCTCGGGCAAGCGCGGCGGCCTCGGCGACCCGCGAGGAGCCCTCTTCCTCGAGATCGTGCGTCTTGCGCGGGCGCACCAGCCAAAGGCCCTCCTCCTCGAGAATGTGCGCGGTCTCGAGAGCCATGACGGCGGCCGCACGCTCGCGATAATCCTGCGCGAGCTTGAGGGGTGCGGCTACTGCGCCCGTCACGCCGTGATTGACGCAGTCGGCCTGCTACCGCAGCAGCGGGCGAGGGTCTTCATCGTTGCGTTGCGCGCGGACGTGCGGCAGCAATACGACTTTCCGCGGCTGCCGCGGCTTGGGCGAGGCGTTCGCGACATTCTGCAGCCGGTAGCGGCGGGGGCGGCGGCGGCGGCGGCGTCGGCGGCGGCGAGGGTGGGAGCGGCGGCGGAGGCGGGGGCGGCGGCGAGGGTGGGAGCGGAGGCGGGGGCGGCGGCGGCGAGCCTGTCCGCGGGGGAGGCTGCTGCCTTGAGCCTCTCTGCTCGCCAGCTGGCGAAGGTACGCGGCCAGTCGTACACGGCGCGCTTCCCCGAGGCGCGACCTTTCCTGGACCTTTCCTGGACCTTTCCTGGACCTTTCCTGGACCTTGCCTGGGTAGGCACGCTTCCCCGAGGCGCGCTTCCTCCCCCCGCCGTGTGCGGCGGCGGCGCGCACGCTTCAGTCGAGCTACGGCAGCTACATGCTCTACTCGCAGTTCGTGCCGCTCGAGGGGCGTGTCGCGGAAGACGAGGGCGGCGGCGGCGACAGCGGCGGCGGCGGGGGCGGCGGCGGCGACAGCGGCGGCGGCGACAGCGGCGGCGGCGGCGGTGTCGGCGGCAGTGGCGGGGGCGGCGGTGGCGATGGCGTTTGTCCCGGCGAGGTCTCCCCGGCCCCTCCGGCGTCCCGCTGGCGCCGCTTCTCGGCCCGAGAGTGCGCGCGCCTCCAGGGCTTTAGCGAGGCGTGGAAGCTGCACCCACAGCGCGCGTATTCCCTCTTTGGAAACGCAATCCCGCCGCCCGTCGTTGCGATGGTCGCGGCCCCGATGCTGCGATGCTGCGGCCTGCTGCCGCCAGCCGCTGTCGAGGTCGGCCGGGCCCGAACCTGCACCGCTAATCGCGCCCCGGAGGGGTGGGAGGTTGGGTGGGCCGTCGCGCGGCAGCTCCTGCTCGAGGCTGCCCCACGTGACGGCGGGAGGCGGGAGGCGTTGCGACGGCTCACCGCCGGCGTCGCCGCTAGCAGTTGCTACGGTGCCGAGCAAGCATGAGGGATAGTTGAGTTGAGAATCTTTGGCATATGTAGAGCCGGAGATTTGGTCAGGTGGTTACAGTTTTTCGTATAAAGGCTCTACCATCAATCGGGCAATGAAAAATAAATTAAAGTTAAAACGGTCAAACTCTGATCTCCTCTGCATGACGGGAGAGGACGACCCCGGCTAGTCGCCGACCACACCCACAAAGAACCCTCAACTCTGCAGAGTATCTTGCTTCTTCGTTCTTGGTGGAGAGCTCTAGCCTCTACGGGGGAAGGACCCACTCCTCCCCGCTGTACACTGTAGTCGGCCCCGTGAACCTTCACGGGACCTCCTTGGCAAAGCCGCCCTGCAACTCGTTGGCAGTCCTCGTTTTCGACTTTGGCCGCCCCGCGTCGGCCAGGTTCGTGTACCCCGACCCAAAACTCTTCGCCGGCCCCACCAGCTCGACCGACTCGACCGCCAACCGGCTGGGTTTGACCGGCGGCGCGACGCGTGGCCTGTGCTGCGGCCATCTCGGACGTTCAAGCGGCGCCAGCCAGCGGCTCGGCCGCGCATCCTTCACACACGCCGCCACGACCGGGATGAGCGGCCCCGGTGTCGAGCCATGGTGTGAGCTGCATGTGCGGGGCGGCTGTGGCCACAGCAGGTCCACCAGACGGGCGTCAAAGCTTGCCGTCGGCGTGCTGTTGTGGCGAGAGCGCGAGACAGCTGCAGAGGAGCCGAGTGCAGTGGCGAGCCAGAGGCTACCTGGGTCACCAAGTGGTGGCCCTTGCCCATTCTGAGCAGGGCTGAGCTTTGGTGGGGCTGTGCTTGACATGTGTGAAGTGGGAGTGCGTGCCGGCGGCGCGTGAGAGTGAGAAACACGTGTGTATGAGGCCGTAAGAGCCGTGGTATGAGCCATAGTGAGCTTCATCACCCAAGATAAGTGCGGTTTGGGACACATCCACACGCCTCCTGGCAGGGCTGGGCCGAGAGAGCGGCAGGGAAGGCGAGGTGGTGAGCTGACAGGCTGGGGAGTCGGCACGTGTGCGTGTTGCGGATGACCTGGCACCTGCCAAAAAGCGTTGTTTGCGGCTATTGCTCAAAACTATGGGAGAGAAGGCTTACATATTATGACTGCATGCATGCATTTGGTGCATGAGGGCTGCGGGATGGGACATATCACGGTCGATGGCGCCGATGACGACCTCCGGAATGCCCTCGCAATCGCCTCGGATGGTGTGTCCACCGGGACAGTCTCGAGTCCTATCCGTGGCATCACGAGCCGGTGTGAGCTTGGAGACCCGAGATAAGTGCGGCTCGGGACAGCTCGGGCTTGCTACCGATGGGCCTGGGCCAGGAAAGCGGCAGGGAAGGCGAGGTGGTGAGCTGACAGGCTGGGGAGTCGGCATGTGTGCGTGTCGCGACGCTGCCCAAAAAGCGTTGTTTGCGGCTATTGCTCAAGACTTTGGGAGAGAAGGCCTGCGTTTTATGACTGCATCCGTGCGTTTGGTGCATGAGGGCTGTGGATCGGGACATTTCACGGTCGATGGCGCCGATAACAACCTCCGGAATGCCCTCACAATTGCTCGGCATGGGGTCCGCCGGGGACAATCTCGGGTCCTATCTGTGGCATCACGAGCCGGTGCGAGCTTGAAGGCCCGAGCTGAGCGCGGTTTGGGACACCTCAGGCTTGCTACTGATGGGCCTGGGCCAGGGGAGCGGCAGGAAAGGCGTCGTCATGAGCTGGAAAGCCGCTCCATCCGCATCTTCGCTGAGCGAGTGAGTGACACGCAAGTCCTCTCCCGGCAAAAGCGGCAACGGCCTGAGCCACTGTTTACCAGGCACGAGTGTAGGGACCCGGTAGTACACACTCCTATTCTGCGGGTTTGTGAACAGTCCGAACGTTACGAAGTCCGCATCGCGCGCGCGTCCCTTCGCGTCCGTGAGAGATATGGCTACATCGGACGACGAGCCTGACGATGGCGACGGGTCCAACCTACCGGTTGACGCCTCGCGGCACATTGAACGCATGAATGCCGAGCGCAGCGACCCGAAGCAGCCGGTGGTGTACGCGTACCTCTCGGAGATGTTTGCGTCGCCTCGGCACGCACAACTCACCCCTGGGCTGCGCTTCGCGCAGCTGCACGCGGTCGTGCTGTACTACCTCGGCTTGGCCGAGGAGGGCCTGCTACCGCAGAACCGCGGCGCCGCTGCCTGGAAGCGGCTGCGCGAGGATGTGCCCTTTTGCGACGCCAATGGACGGCTGCGCTCGCTGCCCAATCCGGCCGTGGTGGATGCAGCATCGGCACAGCCAGGCAGCCCTGTCGCCTCGCGTCGTCACGAAGCTGAGACGCCTTCCGTCCAGGTCGTGCCGGCCGTCCTCGAGCCACGCAGCGGAATGAAGGAGTTGTCGGTAGCGCGGCGTCGCCTCTACGACGAAGCCATCCTGTTCGTTGAGACGCAGCTCAAGCACATTGGGAATGGCAAGCCCGCGTGCTCGCGGCTCCGAGCCGAGCTGCAGTACCTGGGGCAGGCCGTTGCAGTGGTTGCGTCCAAGCAGCACGCGCAGCTCGACCTCGATGAGCGAGGCGCATTCGAAGACCTCGCCAGGCAGGTGCTTGCCTCGCCGTACATGTACCAAGAGCTCGGTGCGTCCTCGCCCGTCCTCCCCGGATGTCTGCCCGTCCCACCTGTGCATGGACGCTCCGCCCCATTGCCACACATCTGAGCCGCTGCTTTCGCACTCAGTTGGAGCGACCGACGCCTTTGAGGAGGTCTGCAAGCTCATCAATGCCAGGCTGCCAGGTCAGCCCTTTGGAGACGAGCATCAGCTCTTGCGCGTCGCTACACGTGTGCTCGAGGAGTACCCGATCGCGACGTACCTGGTGCAGCGTGGCTGGTGCCGGCCAGTCGATGAGCAAGGCCGCCGGCTGCTCGGGCGGATTCGGCTCGACTCCGGCTCGGCGCACCCGGCCGCGGCGCAAGCTCGATCCACGCGGCGCCGCGGCAGCAGACCCGCTCCTCCCAGTCGAAGCGCGGACGGCGCGTCTGCTGCTGGTATGTCCACGGCAGCCACGACGGGCGCAGGCAGCGACTCCGACGCTTCCAAGGAGGAGATGCCGCTCACGACGTGCCGCGCGCCCCCAGTCACCGCCTTCCAGTGGTTTGCGCGCACAGAGGCGCTGCGACTGAGAAGCTCCGCCTCCGCCACAGTGTCGAGCGATCAATGGCGCGCCATCACAGCGGCCTGGGACGAACTCCCTTCGGACCGCAAGGCGTGGTGGGAGACGCAGCGGCTTGCAAGCTTGCAGGTGCAGAACGCCCGAGCACTCTCCTCGAGCTGCTCGTACATCTGCGCGCACGGCGCGACCGACCTAGCCCACTGTGAGGGCTGCGGCGAGGCGCGCAGTGGCCACCCCTTCTGTTTTCAGAAGCGGCTTGTGGAGGCGGGTGCAGATGGCACGAGCGAGGCCCTCTACCTCTGCCCGTCCTGTCTGCAGAGACACCTCGCCGCGGTGCGCCTCCTGCCACCCCAACCGCCGACGCCGACGGTGCTCGCGGCGATCGAGCTGCTAGTCGGGGGAAGCGGCGGTTGCGCCAAACTCGGAGCCGTCCGGGAGGCGGCGCGCGCTGCGGCAGGGGTCGTCACGCGCGGTGTCAGCCAGTCGCAGCGTGCTGCCATCGCCGCGTGCTCCCACCTCGACGAGGTGCGCGCCTCGCGCGAGCCCCGCCGACCACCCCAGCCACGACGCCCTTGACATAACCCTCCGTGCTCGCCCTCGCCTTCAGTGCATCACGGCAAGCGCCACTCTGGCAGAGGCGGCGGGGCTCTCCTCGAGCCGCGCTTTCGCGAATGTGCACGGGGGCTTGGTCGCGCTCAAGGTGGCGGAGCACCTCCGCGGCGGCGAGCCCAGCGTCGTGAAGGCCTGCGCAGTCCTGCACGAGTACCAGCGCGCACCCGCTCTCGAAGATGCTGCAAAGGCGGTGCACATGCACGTGATGCAGGCTCTCGTGGATGCGGCGCGCAGCGGTCGCCGAGGCAGGCTGGAGGCGGAGCTCGCGCTGCGGTCGGATGCGGCGGCGCTCGCGCCCGTGGTGCTCCGGTTCGTGCGCGATGACATCTGCAACGTCTTGCAGCTCGTGCTCGACGACGTCGTCGACCTCGCGTCCCCCGACGTCATCGACGCAGACAACGCCTCCGCGGCTCCCCGACAGTCGCGCCGACGCGACATACTGCGTCGTGTCGCCGAGTCCATCATCGGCCCGTTGCTGCACCTGCGCTGGATCGGCTCGCAGGAGGAGTGCCCCGAGGCAAAGAAGCTCTTTCGGCGCATCAGCCGCTTCCTCCAGGTGCCGGAGCGCGCCGCCACCTTTCGCAGCGCACTCTTTCGGGAGGGAGCACCACGTTCCCTCGACACCGACCTCAAGCAACGCGCGCCTGTGCTGCTAGAGGCGGACCGAGAGCGTGGCAAGACGACCAGGCGCGCTGTCATCGAGGACAATGCCCCGATCGTGTCCATCACGGCCCCAGGGCTTGGCGAGGTCGTGCAGGCCAACTTGACGCACTGGACCGCTACGGGAAGTGTCAACCTGGACCCGGCCACCGGCAGCTTGGGCGACGGTCGGCCGCTCAGCACTGCCGTGGGCAAGTTTGTCGCCACCGCCGGTCCACTCTACGGCGTTGCCTTCCCCGAGCTGCGAAGAAACGCAATGTCCTCCTCGCACCGGGGCCTGCGCCTGCCTGCCGAGTACGCCCTCCGGGGCGACCAGACGTGCCAGTGGGGCGTGAGTGACGGCACCGTCTGCCGCTTGATGCACCCGACCCGCGGGCTCGTGCCCGAGCTGGTCAATGGCGAGGGCCTCACCCTTGCCACGCACGTCCCCGTCAAAGAGGCGCTGTCGCACCTCTTCAAGATGTTTCGGTTGCAGCTTGACTCGAATTCCACGCACGTCTACGGCAACCTCAAGGACGCGACGATCCGGGCGCTACCGGTGCACGTCTTTTCGTTCCTTGAGCGACCTGAAGGTGGCGCCGTCGGCTCATGGGTGGAGGGGCCGCGCGAGGGTCTGCGCGCGCACTCGCGCAGGTTCTACCCAGGCGCCTGGACCGACGACGGGAGCTCCCTCCGCGTAACGTCGCTGCGCATCGGCCCTCCGCAGCCGGTCAACTCGCTCGCGTCCGACGAGCAGTGGGGGCTCGCGCTCGAGCTCGGCCGTGCCACGGGGCAGCTGTCTCGCGGCAACTATGCCGACTGCGGCGAGGTTGGCGACGCGCTGCGGCCGTTTCTGCAGGGTGATCTCGGCACGTACAGCGTGCTTGGAGGCTGCCTCCGCCGCGAGATGGTCGTCGTGTCGAGAGGTGTGTTCCGAAACGAGGCCGAGGCGCGCGCTCATGTGCGTGCTCTGCGGATCGTCCATGCGATGTGGGACCCGCTGCGCCCCGTTATGCACAACCAGTTCGCGCTCCTCAAGGGCATCCTCGTCTGCCGTTTCAAGAACGGCTCCATCGATACGGAGCGCACGATGCAGGGCTTCACCAAGTTCAAGCCGGGATCCGAGGGCCAGGGCTTCCAGACGAAGAAGGAGCTGGTCGGGCGTCGCACGCAGGCGTTCCACAACGTGATGCAGCGTCTCTTCCGCATCTACAAGAGGGAGGCGTACGGCGACAGGGTCACCATCAACGCAGACGGGAGCCTCGACCGCGACGACTACGACGACCGCTTTCTCGATATGATCCGGAGCCTTGCTGCCCCCGATGCGACGGGCCGCGTGGATGAGGAGCTGGCGGACATGATCCACGAGGTGTACGACCTCAACGTGCCGCTGCTTCTCGAGGTGCTGATGACGCGCAAGAGCATCGCCGAGGTCGGCCCCATGATGTGCGCCTACTGGCAGGCCTGGGCGCAGGCGGCGAACTGCCCGCGCGTCTTCCGCCACTTTGTCGACCAGCTCGCCGCGCCGCTCCTCCGCTCCGCCGAGGGCAACACCCACGTGCTACAGGCCTTGTCGACGCCAACCGAGTCGGGCAACTACGGCACGGGGAAGGAGGTGGACTGCTTGCAGGAACTCATCGTCCTCATCGCGCAGCGGTACAAGCTCAAGGCCGCGGGCAAGGGCGAGGAGGCCAAGAAGCTGATCGGGCGCCAGCACGCCCTCGCCGCCAACCTCGACATCGCCCTCGAGACGATACCCTGGCTCGAGACGGAGTGGGCTGGCCTGATGAAGAAGACGTACCAGTCGAGGGTGATGCATCGGTCCGAGGCGATCGACGTCCTCACCTATCTGTACACCCGCTCCTTTGCCGTCGCGGACCCCTTCCGGCGCATCGCATCTGGTGCCCAGGGCGAGGTCGCGCGCTGGGAGCTCGCGACGCAGCTGCGACTAGAGCCTGCGAGCACAGCCGCGCTCCAAGTGCCCTGCTTTTACTACGTCGATATGGAAGGTGGCCCTCTCCGGCTGCTCGCACCTGGGCGCCTCCTCGCGGCGGCGAGGGAGGCGGACGCGTCGATGGAGGAACCGCCGAAGGTGACCTTCGCGACCGGAGAGAAGCCTCTCTTCGGCACCGAGCTCACGGGCGTGTGCTTCGGGCGCGACGGCCGGTGGCGCTCTCGTGGCGGGGTGGGCGTGGGAGAGCTGCGCGTCCCGCACAATGTGCCGCGCACAGTCTGCATCACCGACTCGACGCTGCGCCCCGCCGCCCTGTCGGCGCTGCAGATGCTGCCCCTCACCAGCGACGAGCCCGATGCGACGGAGGAGTACACGCAACTCAGGTGGTCGCTGTCGCTGGTGCGCACCGCCTCTCGTACTGTGCCCGCTGTGGCGCAGCTGCAACGAGCGCTGCCATCCATGTCCCTCCTCCTGTACGTTGACGGCGTCGAGGCCACCAGCGTCAGGGCTACTGACCTGCCGCGGCGGCTGCTCGGGGCGCTCCAGACTGGCAAGCCTATTGTAATCGCCCCGCCGGTCACGCTCCAGGATGCGGCAAAGGCAGCCTTCGACATGTCGTACGACATCCTGCTCTCGGGAGTGGTGGCTAGGTACACGTCGAGCGGCAAGCCTTCGTACACGGCAAAGGTGTGGGGAGGCACCACGTCGGCGCAGCGCGAGTGCCGGCAGGGCAAGCCGTCGCCCCCATCCGCAGTGGAAGGGAAGCCGCAGAGGCTCGTCCTCTTTTGCTACTCCAAGGCGACAGAGCAAGCCGCACCCGCCGGGGGTGAGCGGGGCGTGCAGGCGTCGAAACGCAGCGGCCTCGAGCTCGCGCTCGAGGAGGCGCGTGAGATGACAGAACGCGCGGAGGAGGCGGGGGTCGTGTCGGGCATAGCCGCCAAGCGGGCGGCAGAGGAGGCGGACCAGACCGAGCTGCTCAAGCACACGAGGCGCACGCACCTGCTCACGGGTCGAGCACAGGGGGCCGGGAAGGTCGCCGTCGGGAAGGGCCCGGGCAGGAAGAACACGGCCGACCAGGGCCGCCGCCTGCCGACGCAGCGCACGTACCAGAACCCAGTCGGTCGCATAAGCTCTGGCGACACTGCAGGGCTCGCAGGCGGCGACAACAGGAAACTCAAGTTTGCCAAGAACTACGGGCAGGCCATGCAGCGGTGTTACGACGCGGAGCTGGAGTCGCTGCAGGTGATGACGGACGTGTACAATGCCGAAAGGCCGTGTGGGTGTCGCCGCCAGCTCGGGCGCGGGGCGTGGTGTCTAACAGCTTCTCCCTGCTCTAGGCGCGGCATCCCGTTCGACTACTCGACTCTTGTGCGCCAAGGCGGCGGCGGCGGCGGAGGTGGCGGCTGCAGCGGCGGCGGCGACGGCGGCGACGGCGGCGGTGGCGGCGCGGGTGGGGGACCGGGAGGCAACCGCTCCTCGCGCGCAGGCACAAGCGAGGAGGATGCCCGGGTCGCCAAGGAGCGCGAGCGCATCGAGCGCGAGATCCAGGTGAAGCTGCGCGAGATCGAGACGCACGAGCAGACGAGCATCGAGCTGCAAACCGACCAGACCGCGAGCAGCGTGCAAAATATGCAACCGAGTATAGACAAGGCCAAGGAGCGGAGCGACACCCTGCGGCGCGAGCTGACGGCGCTCCACCGCAAGCTGTGGTCACTAGAAGACGACGCCGGCGGCGGTGCGGGAACGCACATCGATCCGGATGACGAGCTGCTGGAGGGTGATGACGAGGCGATCGGCAGCTTGCCGCTGGAGGACTCCGACGACGAGGGGGGCGATGCAGCAGGTGCAATCAGTGATGACGACATGTTTGACAATGACGGGCCCTAGTTAGTTGCGATCAGTGGTGCCCGGGACGAGCACGGAGACGTTGCGACTAATTATAGCGCTTAGGATCGGAGTAGTGGTCCTGAGTACGTACACTGCATGTAAAATGCATTTCAGTTCATAAAAGGCTGCCGTTTGTGTCAGAAAAGGTCTACCCTGCCTTCGAACTGGACGACTATGGCGGTGCGGGCCGGGAATGCTGCGTTTCTTTTTGCGTGTGTTTCTTCACCATCTGCATCTCGGTTTCTCCGGCCACACTAGCTGACAGCACAAGCGCTCAGACAGCACAAGCGCCTGTCTTTGTTTCTGTAGTGTACTACACCTCTGCCACACTCATGCGAGAGAGGGGCGCTTGACAAACGGCACCAGGCGGGCACCGCCACTGGGCGTCGTTGGAGCAGCGGAACCGAGGGAAGGGAAGGGCAAGCTGCCGGTGCACTCGCACGAGGACGCGCCACCCACGGAATGGGCGGAAGGAGCGAGCGGCGAGGGCTCGATGTGTGAAGGAGTGCGCTTCCCAGCAGTCTTGGTCAGACGCAGAGCCGGACTCGACGCCTCCGAGACCGAGGCCGAGGCGGGGGTGGACGCTGAGGCCGGGTGTCGCTCGGGAGCGGGACAGGACGCCGGGGACGGCGGGGCGGCAAGCCGCCTCGCTGCTTCGCCGCGAACCCCGAGCTCCTGGAGGCTGGTGCCGCGGGCGAGCATCGAGGTTAGCACACGCCGCGCTATCTCGCGGTGGTGCTCCGATTTCCTCTGGTGCATCGCGATGAGCTGGCGCGCCTCGGCTACATCTCGCGGGTCCGCCCGAGTCTGCTCGTCACTCGACGGCTGCCACACCCACACGAAGAGCTCCTCGCTGCCCGCCTCGTACTCGGCCAGGGCGCCCAGATTCGCCTCGGCGAGGAGCAGTGGCGCAAGGCCGTGCGACGACTCCTTGACGCGAACACCGATGTCGCCTTTGCCAACCATTGTCAGCACCGCCATCTCGTGCGCGCTCATTTCTGTGAACGGCGCTGGTGCGAGTGCGGGCGGCTCGTCGAAGACGCTAGTCAGGAGCTCCTCGCCCTCAGAGAGCTGGCGGAGAATCTCGATCGCCGCTTTGCTCGCCGGCCGCAGCTCCATGTAGTAGGGGAAGCTGCCGCAAAGGGACGCGTGCGCAGCGGGGAGGGAGGCGGTGGGGAGCGAGGCGTAGCGCGCACAGTAGTCACACCCGGAGCACTGCTCGACGCTGCCGCCGAGCCAGCCGACGAGCGCAGCACGAAGGCAGCCGGCGTGCGTCAGCACTTTGAGCAGCTGCGTCGTGGCGCTGAGGGCCGCACGAGCGCGCTCCATCGGCGCCGGGAGCGTGGCGCGCTCGACGAGGAACCGCGGCCGCAAGAACGTAATCGAGAGGCCAGACGAGCGAATACGTCCATCCTCCTGGAAGTGCTCGAGCGGGTCCTGGGCGAGGCCGAAGTGGAGTAGCGCGGTGATGCCCGCGTGGTTGACGCCAGTGGCAAATGTTGACGAGGCGATGAGGATGACGTCCGGGTCGGCGCGCCAATCGGCCAAGCTCGACTGCCGCTCCTCCTCTGTCATACCGTTGGTGGCAAACGCGCGGGCAGGCATGCCGTGGGCAGTGAGGAACGCGGCGATAGCGGGCGCCGACGTCGCCTTCGTGACAAACGCGAGCTTGCGTCCTGCCCACGCAGCCGAGGCGAGAGCGCGCGCGAGCCTGCACCCGCGCAACACGTAGCTGGCACTCGACTCTCGAGACCCGGCGGGGAGAAAGCACCGCACCATTGAGATGTCGGCGCGGTCCACCGGCCCGCGCAGCACGGTTAGGTTCTCACCCTCCACCCCGAGACGCAACCGCCAGATCGCCTCTCGCTCGAGCTTGCCGGGCGGCATCGTCGCGGTGAGCGCGAGCACCTGGAAGGGCTCGAAGTTGAGCGCCTGCATCACGAGCGCAAGGCTCGCGTGGGTAACGCCCAGCTTCGCGCAAGCCTCGCGGAACCCGCCCTGCGAGATCTTGAGGCACGTGTGTGCCTCGTCGATCACAAACAGCCGGCACCGCCCGCCGCGCGTGCTAGCGTGGCGCAGGAGCCGTCGGCGACGTCTCGAGTACTCCCGGGAGGCTCAGACATTGCTCCGACAGTGTCTTTCCTGTCAACGCCGCCCTCGACAGAGGCTTCACACCTGCCTCCGGTGCCATCGTGAAATTTGGGCACCCCCGACCCGGGCTCCACATCTTGGCTGCACGTACCTCTGCCGGACCGCGCGATCCATCCGGCCACGGGCAAGCCATGCGACAGGACGCGCAACGAGGCGACGCAGCCTGGTTCACCGCCGAGCTCGAGGAGCTTGGCAACCATAGCGGGAAAGCAGACGATCCCCGCTTTGTCGAGCGCTTCATCCGTGGCCAGTGCACCATGGAGGAGTGCGTCGAGGCCGGCTCCACATGGTGCTACGTCACCTACGCCGAGGCCCGACGAATCGCCCTGCAGCACGGCAAAGAGTTCACTACCACTCGTGCCACTTGGGTCTACAAGACCAAGCGAAATGGCAAACACAAAGCCCGCTGCTGTCTCGACGGGTCCAGCCAGAGGTTCGGCGAGAACTACAACCAGACGTTCTGCTCCACCCTGCGCATGCCCTCCCTTCGCCTCCTTCTCAACATTGCTGCCCGCCGCGGGCTCAAGGCTCGTAGGCGCGACCTTGTCGCCGCCTTCCTCCAGGGAATTCTCGAGGACGGCGAGATCGCCTTCATGCATCAGCCCGCCGGCCACGCCAACGCTCTCGACGAGAACGGCAAGCCCAAGCTCTGCCTCATCCTCAAGCCCCTCTACGGCATGAAGCAGGCGGGGCGGCGCTTCCAGCGCGCTTTCTTTGCTTGGCTCGAGCGTCCCCGCGACGAAGGAGGCGCCGGCCTCATCCCGTCCAAGGAGGACCCTTGCATCTACCGCATCACCACTGAGGACGACGAGCTCATCATCGGAGTCTACGTCGACGATCTCATCATCAAGCGCGACGCCGAGTACGACGCCGAGGGGGCTCTTGTCTCCGACTCGCTCTACGCGCAGTTCATTCGCGACATCGACGCCTCGTGGAAATCTGAGGACGAGGGCCCGCTCTCCGACATCCTCAACGTCCAGGTCACCCCACTCGCCGAGGGCGGTGTTCACGTCGGGCAGGGGCCGTACGTGCGCAAGCTCCTCGACGAGTACCTCGACCAGATCATCGCCGAGCTCCCGAACCCGGCCGAGCCGGGCGCCCGTCACTCCAACAACACGCCGTTCACCCTCAGCATCGCAGAGCGAGTTCAAGCGGCCACGGACGACACCAGCGAGAGGGAGCTGCGCGTCGTCCGCCTCTTCCAGAGCTGCCTCGGGGCTCTTCTCTACCTCGTCTCGAACACGCGCCCCGACATCGCGCTCCCCGTCGGCCTCCTCTGCCGGGCCATGGCGAAGCCCACACCCGCTCTGTTCGAGGAGGTGTACTGCGTCCTGTGCTACCTCCGCGAGTACCCTGACCTTGGTCTTACCTACAACGGTCGGGGCGAGTCGGCCGCCGACGACGAGCTCCACGCCTTCAGCGACGCCGACTGGTCGACCCGTCGATCCACGTCTGGCTGGCTCGTCCGCCTGTGGGGCGCCACGCTTGACTGGAGGGTTCAACAGCAACCCACCGTCTCCCTCTCTTCCTGCCAGGCCGAGATCATGTCCGCCTCGGAGGCGACCAAGGACGTCGAGCAGTACCGGCGTCTGCAGGAGGAGGTCGACGCGCTCCCCGATGGCTCCCCGCGCCCGCCGACGAAGCTTTACGTCGACAACCAGGCCGCCATCGCCTCCGCTTACAACCCGGAGCACCATGGCAAGCTCAAGCACGTCGAGCGACGCCACTTCTACATCCGCGAGGCCATCGAGGCCACCGCCTCTGCGTCTCCGGTCATGAATATCACGTTCCCTAACGCATCGTGATCCGAGAGTGCACGGTTACTCGACTATGTCGTTACTCGACTAAGTCGAGGGGGGGGACGTCGGGCCGAAGCCCGTCAGGCACTCTCTCCCTAACCCTAGCCTTCTCCCGAACCCTAGTGTGTTTTGTTGCCTCCGTGCTTTCACACTCGTCTTGTCGTGTCCGTCCACTGTGATTGCGGCCGTCCACGACTACGTGGTCTCTAGAGAACGTATCAACCCCCTTCTGGTGCCGACCGCGCCCCCGCGGGGCACGGCCGGACGCTACTTACTATATTCACACCTACTACAGTGGGTTGCGGGCATTAAGAAAGCGTCCCATTAAGAAATCATACCAAGCCATTTCCGCAAAAATCTAAGAAACCACGGCGCGCCGCAGGCGCGGCCCCGAGAAAAGGCCAGACGCGAGTGTGAACGGGAGGCCCAGCTCAAAATTTCTCTTCGCCAGCGGCGCGCGCACTTGTCACTTTCCAAGTCTGCGGTGTTCTGAGTGGATGGAGTGAACGGAGGCGTGTGTGCGTCTTCCCGTCATCCAGACAGAGAGCCGACTCGGCGGCAGACTCTGGCATCGCCCGAATTCCATCGCCCTCGCGGGCGGACCGCAGCTTACCTCTTACCTAAAAATCTTTCGGGCCGGCGCTCTGGCTTGAGTGCCCCGGCCGGAGCTAAGAAACCACGGCGTGGGGTGGATGAGGGCTGTGGAAAGGCTTAGAAACGGCGGCGTGCCGCTAAGCCCTGTTTTTTTTTTCATGCCCGCAACCCCTTCTCTGCTGTTTTCACACCGATCATAATACGCGATCGCGCAGCCGTGAAAACCCAAGTTTCCCGGACGCTTCTTTTGATGAATGCACGTCCTGCTCCGGTCGCATGTTGAGAGAGGTACTGGTTGATAGCAGTCGAGACGTCGTCTGTATCGGCCGGGAAGTCGTCGACTCCGTCTCCGCGCTGCTCCATGCGCGCCTTCAGCGCCGCGGAGCGTTTGCTCTCGTCGGGATCCGTGCACTCCATCACCGCAGTTCGCACGGGCTCCGGGCTGAGCTGCTCGGCGGTGACATTGCAGATCGAGATGGCCTCGACGAGCTGACAAGGCAAGCGCTCTTGCAGGTACGACTTGAGCCCCGAGATGATAGCCCGACCCAGCAGCACAGAGCACACTTGGAGGGAGGCAATAACAAAAGTTACATTCACAGGTGACACTTCCCTCCCTCCCCCCCTCTCCCCCCCCCCCCCTCTTCCTCGCTCCCTCCCGGCGGTACGCTGGTTGCAGCACTGAGCACACTCGCACGGCCTCTCGAGGTCGATCACTTTGTCATCGCCGCACACGTGGGCGGGGCACAGGTCCCTATATTTCTTGTCTGGCCCCACGGAGTCGAGCGTCACTGAGAGTCCGGTTGAAGTGAAGTCCACGTCGCAGGGGTCGAAGGATAGGGTGCCTTCCGGCAACGATTTCCATGGGCCCAGAACTATATCGCAGCACGGCATGTTGTCCGGCGCCAGAGCTTCGCCATTGGGATGTCTGATTGGATGGAGGGCATTGGGATTACTGATTGTGGTCAAGCCCTCCATCCACGGTTTCCAGGCGATTTTCTCGCAGCCGCCCCAAAACGGGATCTCGAACAGCCGGAAGAAGTCCCACTTCTCCTCGGAGCTCTGCGGCAGACGGTGGAGTTGGGGAGGCAGGGCATGCGAGGGTGAAGGAAAGCCAGCTATGAGTGAGGCGGCTCGCACACCTTGAACGGCTCCATCTTTTCAGCCGCAACGAACGACGCCTTGAGTGCTGGCGCCGGGGCCAGCGTATGCGCGGTGAGGGTGCCGACCACCGCCCCGCCTGCAACGGCATTAGTACCAATTGCGCAAGGGGCATGCGGTGGGAAGCTGCAGGGCCGAATGGATGGCGGTTCGAATGGATGGCGGTTGTGCGCACCAAAAGCGGCGGTGACGACGAGAAGCGTCTTCATGGCGCCGCTCTGGTTCGTCTCCATCGTTGCTGCCTGCGGCACTGCGCTCACAGACGTCTGAGCGGCGCGCAGAGTAAGCCGACCCGACCAACAACGACGATTTCTGCGATCAACAGTCCGCTTTCGCGCAAAGCGAAGCTAAAAGTACGTACAGAGAGAGAGACCCGCTCTCTTTTCTCCCAGTAAGCTATAAGTACGTACGTACAGAGACAGAGAGAGTACGGGGCAGTCGAGACTCGCATGCTCGCATCGGTTGCCTCCATGAACGGCGGAGCTATGGGTGCGCCGGTGTCGTCGGCGCGCGGGCCGCCCTGGCCAAGGGCGCCGCCCAAGCGCGAGGCCGCCTCGGCGCCGTGCACCGTGAGAGAGCCGCCCGCTGGCGGGTGCCGTACGAGACACCCCCCTCTCTCTGACGTAGCCGCCGCGTCTCGACTCGATGATGGCGCCCGCCGCGACACCGCCCGGAGCGGCCGCACACTGCTCGGTACCCCCCCTGCACATCTAAAGCCATGGCCGACCCCCCCCACCAGCAGCAGCGCTCTGCTGCTGGGGGGGTCCGGACCCCCCGCCCCAGCAGGAGCGCTCTGCCTGTGGGGGGTGCTGGCATCTCTCATCTCTGTACAGACAGCAGCTGTAGTAGCATGTGTGTTCCAGTGGCGAGAATTTATGTTCGACACCAAAATCAGTGGTCTCACCACGTGGGGACAGGCCAACAGCTAGTGGGACGAACGAGGGACGCGACGGCGGCCCAAGCGGGAGGGAGCGGAGACAGTCGGCAGCGAGCGAAGTGGGTGAGACTGATGATGCTCCTTCGACTTAGGGAGCGGTTCAGCTGCTGGGCGGGCTTCAGGCTGGTGCTCACGCGAAAAGGAATCGACGCGATGTACAAAGCATACCAACAAGAGGAGAAAGAAGAGGACGGACATCAGTGATGACGAAACAGAAGCTAGCGCAGACGAGGGCAGGGCAGACCCGGGGACGGCGGAGTCGGAGCAGACGGCATCGGCTGCCGAGGAAACGTTGCTCGTTGGGAAGAGGCACGAGGAGGGCGGCGACCTCAACCGACTATGGAGGACCCGTCACCAGACGACGCAGGGCGGACGACGGGGAGGCGGAGCAGACGCGCAGGGCGAGACGAGGGAGGGAGCAGGATGTTGCGGAGATCAGCAGGAGGATGTACGACGAGATTAGGAGCAGCAGGGACCCGAGGGACCATGTGGAAGACGGCTAGTGCTAGTCCCCCTGGGAGAAAACTTCATGTACGGATCATGTAGTCCCCACACAGACGCTGTCGTGGGATGGCGCTAGTCATGAGAGAGTGCGTCGTGGTCACTCTCAGAATTCACACTCATATGACATATCCTGGGAGCTCGAACCCTACCCGCCCGCTCACCGCATCCCAAATCGCTCCCTTCCCCTCGTCGCCCAACTTGTTGATGTTGTACTCGAGGTTGATGCTTTTCAGAGCACCCTGCTGAAAAACGCAAAAAGAATTTTACCACGCAAAAAGAAATCAATCTCCCCGACGCCGAAGCGCTTCTCAAGACTCTAATCCCATGCACGTACGCCCCCCTGGCCGACTCCGCTCTCAGAGCCCACTCACATCTTGAGCCTGAACCCTTCCCGCCCGCTCACCGCATCTCGAATCACTCCCTTCCCCTCGTCACCCAAATCGTTGTAGCGGAGGTCGATGTTGTTCAGCACCCTGTTGATGCGAAGAGCGGATGCTAGCGCCTTGGCACCCTCCTCGCGGATGTCGTTGTCGGAGAGGTTGAGGGTGGTCAGCACCTCGTTGACGCGAAGAGCGGAGGCCAGTGCCTTGGCGCCCTCGTCGCCAATGCGGGTGTCGGAGAGCACGAGGGTGGTCAGCACCGCGTTGACCGCGAGTGCCTTGCCGATCGCCTTGGCGCCCTCGGCACCGATGATGTTCTCGCTGATGTTGAGGTCGGTCAGCACCTCACTGCCCGACGCGTACTCGGCGATCTCTGCGGCGCCAGTCGGGCCAATGTTGCAGCGAGCCAAGCCCAGCGAGGTCAGCTTGTTGCGCTGCCGCTCGGCACGCACGATGCCGAGGGCCGCCTCCTCGGTGAGGCTGTTGAAGCCCACGTTCAAGGAGGTCAGCACCCCGTTGCCGCGCAGCGCCTCGGCGATTGCGGCGGCGCCCTTGGCGCGGATTTTGTTTCCAGTGAGATTGAGGGAGGTCAGGACCCCGTTGACCTTAAGGGCCTCTGCGATCGCGCTGGCACCCTCGGGGCCGATGCCGCCGCTGCTGTATGGGTCGCCCGACAAGTCAAGAGTGGTCAGCACCTCGTTGACGCGAAGAGCAGAGGCCAGCGCAGCGGCACCCTCGTCCCCGATGTTGTTGTCCCGGAGCACGAGGTTGCTCAGCACCCCGTTGACGCGAAGGGCGTCGGCGATCGCGGTGGCACCCGTGGGGCCGATCTGGTTCCAGGAGATGTCTAGCTCAGTCACCACCCCGTTGCCGCGCAGCGCTTCCGCGATCGCAGCGGCGCCCTGGTCGCGGATCTGGTTGTTGGCGAGGTTGAGGGTGGTCAGCACCCCGTTGACCTTGAGGGCGTCCGCGAGCGCAACGATGCCGGACGCATCGTACGCACCATCACCGTCCTCGTCAATGCCGCATATCTCGTTGCCGCTCAGGTCGAGGGTGGTCAGCACCGTGTTGCCGCGTAGCGCCTCCGCGATCGCGGCTGCGCCCTCCGCGCCGATGTTGTTGTGCGGGAGCGCGAGGGTGGTCAGCACCTCGTTGCGCTCGAGTCCGCCTCTGATCCGAGCAGCGCCCTCGTCGCCGATTTTATCTGCCGCATCCCGCCACTTCGTGTTTATCCTTGAAACGGCGTTTGCCACCAGCGGGGTGGCGAGGTCCTTGAAGCGGCTGCTGCATCGTTTGAGGGCGACGGCGGAAGCCAGGTCAGACTCGGCAAGCCGACTGGCAATCTTCCGCAACAGGTCGTCATTGAGATCTGCAAGGCAAGGAGGCTCGGCATCTAGCTCGGCGTCCATGGATGCGCGTCGGCGGGCACATCTCAATCACACACCGCCACTCGGCCGCACGCGTGCACACTTGTGCCTGTGCGGTGTGGACGCGCTCTCGACGCGCTCCTCTGACACACAGGCGTCCCACTAGGTGTCCGCTGGTCCTCGACACGCTGACGTCGCCACTATCGCCATCTGCGAAGGCTAGCCCGCTTCGTCGCCACGCTGCCCAGCGACGACGGCGCGGAGCTCATGGCATCGTCCTCTGCGCCTCTCGGACTCGAGTTGCTCGTTCCCGCCGGCGTCGCACAGCTCGGCATCGTCCGCGCCCGCAGCGAGTATTGCCTGACCGACGCCGACCTCCAAGGGCTGCCCCGCTCAGCGCATCCCGGCGCTGGCGTCATGTTCTCCGTCAAGGATCTCGCTAGCGTCGCCATCCTGAAGGGGTACCGCGAGCGCGGGCAGCGGGTCGTGCGTATCAGCAGGCCCGACGTCTCGCGGGCCGAGACGCTCTTCCTTCCCACGGTCGGCGAGGTAAAAGCCATGATGCCGGGACGCGCAGACCCCTCCTCGGGCGCCGGCCCGAGCTCTGGCTCCGGCCTGAGGAGCGGCGCGCTGGCTCCTTCTGACCAAGGAGCAGACTTTTTATTTGACAGAATACGCCGTTAGTCCAACCAGCAGATGTGAAAAATGGTAGCGAGAGTGCACACCCGTGTGAGCGTGCCCCACACCCGTGAGGCGTGAGCGTGACCCATTGCCGCCGTGAAACAAGCACATGGCTAGCAATTGCAGGCGGCCCTCGCGCAGCGCAACGCCCCGCGTGCAGCGGAGGCGGCGACCGACGCCTGTCTGAGCCGTACGCGGGCGAACGCGCCCCGACACGCAGACTGACGCTGACGGCCGCAGCAGCCCTCGCCCCCGCCACGTGGCACCCCTCGCCCCCGCCACACCCGCGCGAGCTCGCCCGCTGTGGCGGCGCGGCGGTCACGGTAAAAGGCGCGACCGCACTGCCTCTCGGCCGCTCTAGCCGAGCCGAGGGCGCCCTCGCCCTCGCCCTCGCCCTCGTCGCCGCCGGCGTCCTGGGTCGTTGCGGTCGGTGTGGGAGGGCGTGATCCAAACGCAACGAGCTGCTTGCGCGGGGCCGGGACGCGGGAGGAGCGCCGGGACGCGGGAGGAGAGGCGGGTGCGGCGACCGACGCCGCGCCGCGAGCAGCGGGAGCGTCAGGACGGAAGTGCGCGACACACCCTGGCGATGGAGTATGAACAAGACGAGCGGGAGGGCACCGAGACACATGTTCGCCGCACCGGTGGATGGTCCAATGATGGTCGTCGTGCCTGCGCCGGCGGCTATTGCAGCGGCAGCGGCGATCGCAGCAGCAGGGCAGCTAGCTAGGATCACCGGCGCCTCACCCGCCCGTGGAAGCTTTGTGGCCTTGTCCGGCCACGTTGTACGGATCAATGTCGCCGGCGCCGAGGGATTACAAGCCGCGCCCGCCTGAGCGAGCGGCGTCAGCCAGCCGCGCAGCGCTCGGCGAATCTGAGTGAATGTCGGCGGCGCGCTCGCGACAGCGCAGCGCCGCACCGTGTGCCCTGCAGAAGGCGAGCGTCGTCGCCCGGAAGGACGGCATCGCGCGGAGCTGGCTCTATGGACGCACGATCAGCGCCGTCCGCGGCGCTTCCTGCGACAGGAAGCAGCAGGGGCTGTCATGCCGCCGGAGCGGTCTCGGCACCACGTCGAACGCGCGGTGGCGGGGGAGGTCTGTGGGTCGCCAGGGCGCGTGTGCGGGCCGAGGGTGCGCCGGTGGGCGTGTGGGGTGGGTAGGGTTGCTCAGGGGCGCTCACACGCACGCACGGCGAATGGTGGGATTTGTTTCGCATGCGGTGACCACAGTGGCCGAAGGTGGTGCTCGCTCGCAAGGGCGGAAGAGGCGTAGGAGCCGGAACCCAGTGGCCGCTTGAAATTTTCTTTTGGTTTCGGCTCAGCACTGAGCGTGGAGCGCCACACCATGCTCTCTCCCAGCTGTGCGCGCCGGCCTACCATCATCCGGTCCGAGTACGAGTCGACGTACGCGTTGGCCGCTCTGTGTATCTCGAGACCTCGAGAGAAGGCCGCCTCCCCGAGGGCCCAAGTCAAGAATTGGCTTTTTTTGGCGGGCAAACGTACGCGGACGAGAGCAAATTGCTTGCGCTCTGGAGCCGCTGCGACAACCTCAGCATGCTTTGTCGGCGAATCGGCGGGAGGACGTGGGACCGGCTCCACCCAACGGGGGGGCGTGTATAACTCACGCTTAGCCCTCTGGGTTCCGGCTCCTAGCCAGATAGGGGGTCTGCACACCTTCCTAACTAACTAACACCCTATGCAATAGGTAGGTAGGTCCGGTTTTGACCGCCCCAGAGGGCCCCGCAATAGGTAGGTACCCCCTATTTTCGTCTTTTTTCGCGTCGCTACGCGGCCTGGGGATAGGTAGGTAGGTAGGGCGTTTTGGCGCGACTCAGTGGGGACAGACCCCCTATCAGCCGGAACCCAGTGGCCGGGCTTCGGATTTCTTCTTTTGGTTTCGGTTGTTCATCCCCGAGGGCGCCAACGCAGCTCAACACGCCGACCCGCCTCCCTTCGACGCTGGGCGGCGAACGTGCCGTGAGCGGTGTGCATGCCCGCGCGCCCCGCTCGCCGTCGCGCCCGCTCGCCAGCACGGGGTCGTGCGAGGCCCGAGCCTGCACGCCAGCAGTCCGAGCGCTCTCCCGAGGAGGTTGACTCCCTCCTGGCTGCGCGCCCGTGGCTCCGCCGCCGTGCACTGGCCTCCGTTGCCGGGGCTGGGCTCTGCGGTGGTTTGGGAGTGGCGGCAGTGGTGTGGGAGTCTCGCGCCCTCGGCGCCGCCTGCGCAGGCTCCTTCGCCACCGCCGCGCTCGCCGCTCTCTCCTCCGCAGAAGATGGAAGCGATGCGGTGGCAGGGGCTCGGCCTGCCGCTGGCGCGCCGGCGCCGGATGCCGACCCGGTCGACACGAGCCTGGTTTGCTGCCTCTGCTTCGAGCTGCTCTACGAGCCCGTGACCCTCGCTTGCCAGCACAGCACCTGCAAGGAGTGCCTGCGCAACCTGCTCCGGGCTGCGGAGGACGACGAGGACCTGCGCTGCCCGACGTGCCGGTCGGAGATCGACGAGGCCTTTGCGAGCAGCGTCATGTCCGCGGGCTGCCGGCACAACACCACGCTGCAGAGCCAGTGCGAGAGCCGCCACCCGGTCGAGTTTGCTCTCCGCCGCCGCCACGCGCCGCCGCCGCCGCCGCCGCCGCGCCACAGTCTGTGGCTGCACGCGCCAGGGCTCGCCGCCGTCGCGGAGAGGCCGTCTTGGCTGGCGGCGGTCTCCGCCTCGCTGTGCGTGCTGCTGCAGCTGCAGGCCCTCGCCCTGCCACACTTGCTCGGCGACGAGGCGCTAAGGGCGGCGGGCTCTCTGCACGGCGAGGCGGGGTGGAGGACCAGTGCTGCCATCTTCCTGCACACGAGCTGGGCGAGCCTTCTGATGGGGATGGACCTTGCCGCCCTGCTGCTGACCGTCCACCTCGGCCTCTACCCGGCGGCGATGCGGGTCGAGATGCAGGCCTGGTCCCACACCTCCAGAGTACCGAGTCCGGCGTGGGTTCAGTCCCGTGGGTGGTGTGGTAGGCCGGCGTGCCGTGGCTGCGCGGCTCGGCCACCTGCTGCGGCGTCGCCGCCGTCGCCGCCGCTCGCGCCTTCGTCTGGGCGGGAGGCCGGCTGGAGGCGTTCCTTCCCGCCGCGGCTCTCGCGGCTGCCGTCGGGCTCCACCACGCCGTCGGCCTCCGCCTCCGCCTCTTTGACCCGGCCATAGGACCGCAAGTGGCGCTCTGCCTCGCCTCGAGCCTGCTCTGCTGCTCGGTCGCTCTCCCAGAGCCACAAGCCGCCCCGTCCTCCCGCCCTGCCCACGAGTCCTCACCCGAGTCCCCTAGCCCCCCCTGACTGCTCCCTCGCCCTGTACTCCTGGGATGTGTGGCATACATCACTTAAATTTTTTTTTTCTCCCCCCCCCCC